AGAGAGAGAGAGAGAGAGAGGGCCCATCTCTCTCTCTCTTCTTTTTTCCCATTTCCTTTCTTCTATTTCTTTTGAGCTGTTTCTTGGGTTTCTTTGGGAGTTTGGGGTGGCTTGTGAAATGCCAACCGTTTTTAGACCTGCACACTTGTTTTATGGAATGACAACATTAACTCTCTCTCTCTCCCTCTCTCTCTCCCTCTCCTTCTCCCTCTCTACAAACAAATAATGTTGAAAATGGGGTAGAGAGAGAGAGAGAGAGAGAATGTCAGTTTGGTCAGCTCCCCTTTGTGTGTGTAGATGCAGGAGAGAGATAGAAGATGGTAGGGACTAGGGTGGCTCCACCCACCCTTTTGTTTGTATGCACACTCGTGTAGAGAGAGAAGAATAGAGAGAGAAAGAAGAGAGAGAGAGTGTGGTCATCAGTGTAGCTCCTCCTGTGTACGTGATTTTAGCTTGCATGTGACTGAACCATGTAGAGAGATACCACATTGCAGGGAGGTTTCATCTCTCTTTCTCTCTCTAAAATGGTCACTCTCAAATGAAAACATTGGCATGTGTTCTTCTTATGGTACTCTGCTACTCTTATAACGAATGTAACTTTCGAGATTCCCGGTTTTATTAGCTCAACAATGACTCTTGCATACCAAGGACATGTTGGGCACATCACTAATCATGTCTAATCTTAACTTATTAACATGCTAGTCGTTTATAAAGCGACGTAAAATGTTTGCTCCTGTAGGATCACATTGTATATTTAATCTCTCATTTTAAAGAGTCACTCAAGAAGAATCATATGAGATTTTTGGATCCAATTTAAATTCACTGTATGAGTACTTTTTAAAAATAGAAAAAATTTATATAAAGTTGCAACTTTAAAATATAGGATTAAAGATGCACCTCAAAAATCCATCAGAAAAAGTTGTTTTAATATTGAAAAACCCTCTAATTGATAATCTTGACAAAGATGTATGAATATGAAAAAAAAAATATTTTGAGTCCCATAAATAATGCATCTAGCAACAATTTATCTAGACCGTCCATTTTTAAGGTTTTCATATGTATATAGATCTACTTGATT